GATCTTTATTATCCTTTTATTTCAAAGAGAAGTTCTATTTTCTCGAGACGAAGTTTTAAAAAGGTTTAAAAACAGGTAATACGTCGACTTTATATTAATATTTTAATTTTAATTTATATTTTTTTCTCTTTAATTTTTTTACATTCATATTTCTTACATCCATATCTTAAAAAGAAGAAAAATCATTATTTTTTCACATTTCCTGTTTTTTTTGTCGCTTTTAAATATAGCGTTATAGACGTAAGAAAATTAAAAATATCTATTATATTTACAGTTGAGATTTTTTGACAATACTATGAAAGAGCGAGAGCTAATTTGAAAAAGCGATTGATAAAACGGCTGATAGACAGTTTCTTAAGCGAAGCGGCAAGCCAGAAAATAGCAACTTTAAATTGAGTTAATTATCTCGGCTAATAAGATGAGCCACCGAAGACAAAGCTGCGCGCGAACACAACGATAAATTGTACGTGAAGCATACGTGAAGCATACGTATATACTTTTATAAACGTGCACGCGCGCACACAAACATATGTATTATGTGTGTGTGTGTATATATATATATATATATATATATATATACACACACACACATAAGATATTATTAAATTAAATAAAAACTTGAAAATTTCTACAGTCAGAGATGAATATTATAATAATTTATCAATTTTTTTTCAGTTTTTAATACATTTATTATTAAAATAAAGTTTTTTTTTACATGTTTATACAAGATCTTTGAAGAATTCATCTTTTATTTTTATACGCAACATTTTATTCTTATTGCCTTATGATATCTCTATTGATAAACATTACGCACACGAATGCACATATCATAAAGTTAAAATTTACAAAAGAATAAATCATTCAATTTTTTTCCATTTTCTACATTAAATTTAAAAATTTATTATTTCTGCAACGATATTACTTATATATTACTAGAGAATTAGAATATTATGTAGTAAATGTAAATTATTAGTTTTTCATTTATTGATTTTTATCCAACAATTGTTCCTCCTAGTAACACAGTATATCTCTGTTTTTAGTTGCCGTGTTATCATCGTATTATCGCTTTATGACGTGTCCAAGGACATCAGTTGTTCTTTTCGAACAATTAAAAGAAAACATATGAGCAACTTAAAATTACAAACTAAAAGAATAAATCGTAGCTTTTAATCAAGTTATGTGAAAGATTTCAGAATTGATTGAATATTTCCAATTTATATAAAAATATTTATTTCTTTCTCTCTTTCGCTCTTTCGCACTTTACCTCCATTTAATATTATACAAAAAAATTTCAACAAAAAGCACAATACAAGAACAAGATTATTTATTAATTCTTTTAACGCTAAATAGATTTCGGTTTTTAATGTATTTTACCATAACTACAATATGTAATGGAAATATGTTGGAAAAGTTTTATTATAATCAAAATTAAATATTGTTGTTAGAATTGTCAACTCTCAAAAAGAATTTGTTGTGTCGACTATAGTTAATAAGATATGATGGTTAAACGTATATTAGGCGACTGTTGCAAATAAGATCATTGGGAATCTATATATCAAATCTGTACATCAAATAGTTTATAATATTTATTTAATATTTATTTATAATATTATTTTTATTTAACTTAACACTTAAGTATTTCTTAGATCGCTGAATATGAATTTAATATCGAAACTAACAAATTTAAAATGGCGAAATTAAAATATAAATGTCGAAATAAAGTATTTTTATATTTTAACAAAATTTGTATATACAATTTGTCAATAAAAAATATGTTGTATAAAATATTTTATGTATTTAAAATAAGCAATAAAAAACAATAAAAGATCATAAATTCTGAAAACTTTTTAAAATTATATATATATATATATATTAAATTATATATATATATATATATATATATATATATATTAAAATTATTAGAATAATGAAAAGTCGATAAATTTTATTTTGCTTTTATGGGATGGATGTTGGAAGGAGTAAAACATTGGTCGTGTCGATGTTAATATTTACGTTATTATTATTCGCATGATAATTGGCTGACTAGCGCGTTGTACTTGTATCAAATAGGCTTGGCTTGTCTCTCGTTTATTTACAAAATATAAGTATAAATACATCTAGCGTCCATTTTAATTGTACGAATTCGTGAATCGATTCGCACGAAATCAACGGAATTTTCACAAAATAACAAGTGATTGTTTTATTATGATCACTAACCGTTTTGGGAACGTAATGCATTGTTTTCTTGTAGTCAATTTAAGATTTTAATATAAATTCTTTTTTAATGATTTTATATGTGACATCGGTGATTGCATTGAAAAGAAATGTATATTTAAATTGAAAAACTTGTAAAGAGAAAATAATTTTAATCATATTTTACAATTAATTAAATTATTTTTACAATTAATTAAGAAACTTTTTATGAAAGTATAAAGAGATAAATAGAATGAATAACATTAAAAGTAATAAGTTAGAAAGACATTAAAATATACTATTAAAAATATACTATTTTGAAGAAATTAATACATTCTTTCTCTTGAAAAAGAATCAAACTAAAAGAGAATATTGAGTTGTAAGAGAATATCAAGTAGTATGATGATTTCTATTGAAGTTCAATAAGAGAGGATTTGATTAATAATAAAAGCACCATCTATATGTAGTAGTAATACTAGTTAATAGATGAGAAGATCGATTGTCGAATCTCTTCGAGTGAACGAGAGCGTAACGCGGAAAAATATAATGCTGCTGATTTCTATAATTTTTTATGTATAAAACGATCATTTTGTGGGAAAGAATGTGATTGATTCGTCGAAAAAAAAACTGCGATGAAAACTTCGTTCCACAAATGTAATAATTGTACATGTAATAATTGTACTTAATAATATACACAACATGCATATAATATTACATTATATCTAATAAAAAAATCGTATTTTTTCTAAATTATTATACACACACACACACACACACATATGTACACACATATATATATATATATATATATATATATATATATATATAATGGTACAAATATGAAACATTTGTATGTATTTTCTTCTTATAAACTATAAATATACGAGAGTATAATAATGCAAGACCTTGTACAAACGATAGAAACTAAGGTCCATCGAAGTTTCTTATGCAAACAACAAAACCTTTCTTTTATAACACATCAGTTAATTGCATCTGCACGTATAATTGCGTATCTTCCCGTAAAATGCACCGGCCGTAAAACGCCCGATTAAACACGGACCGATTCCTTTCGCCGTGTCGTGCTTCATAAATTCGCGAAATCGTTTCACGAGATATAACGATATGCAACACAAAAATACAAAGCGAGTTTTTAGTTTTCTTTTACAGAGCGATTAATTTGATTTAGTCATAGTATAATTCAGCATATAATATATAGATTATATAAAGATATATCATAAATATATAATTATAGTTTTTATGTATATGTCTAAAATTTATATTTATAATATATATATATATATATATATATATATACACATATATTTTATATGAACTTTATCAAAATATATTGCACATTTAAATAATTAATAGAGAGAAAAAGCAAAAATATCATGTAAAAATACATGAAGAATAAATAAATGAATTATATTATGAAAAATAGGAATTTAAATAAAGGGAGAGGGAGAAAAAGATATTGATTAAAAGTTATTAAAAGTTAAAAATAATAGAGAAAATTGACAATTAAACAGAAATAGTTCTTTCTTTTTCTTGAAAGAATAAATATTTTGACAAAATTCATTTTTCATAACGAACTCTTTAATCGTCCAGCAATGTTAGTCGACTGAATAGTTGCGAGCATTTGTAACCCATATCTTTGCTGATGCGAAGCGATATATACTCTCGGTATTATGCAAATAATGCTGAAATGAAACACCAAGAATAGATCGTGTTTAGGGCAAGTAGAGGAGTAGAATAGCTTGTTGGAATTTGCTATATAGTCTAAAGTATTCAGCAACTTATGACAATATGTATCTGCCTCAAAATCAAATTAATATATAGAGTTTTTCATTCATATAGGAAACCATTCCTAATTAGTAATAATGTTCTTTTAAATTTTAAAATTCCTTAAATTTGTTGGACGTTACGTCTTCTTTGATTAATTAAAAATTTCTTAGTGATTTTAGAAAATCTACATAAATAAATAAAAATATATAAATAATATAAATTGTAATAATTTACATACACAATGCTCACAATCACAATTCACATTTCATAAGTATTTTATATTTTTTCGTTAATGCAAAATAATGATAAATACTAATCAATACATACATAATAATAATAAAACAAGCAATTATTATAAAATAATGTAAAAAAACTTTTATCAGAATTTTTGTCGAATTCTCTTATCAACGCGATCAACGACACGTTGATGGATATTGTTGGAATATAGCGGTCGGAATTACACACTCTTGCATGATGGATGCACGGTCCATCTAATGATTCGGATTGCAGATGATTAATCGGCACCATTACTCTCGTTTGCGTCCACGAAAAAATTTATCTGTATATGAATATTATCTTATATCATCTCTTTACAGATATGTGATTACTATACATACATGGTTATTTGATATAATTGGCCAGAATTCCCCTTATTTTTATTATTCACTACACGATTTATTTATTGTGTGTTTTTTACGGTCATTATAATAATATTACGGTCATTATAATAATATTATCAATATGTATTATAATCGCACAACAATAAATATTATCTTAGCATTGATGTAATTTTTACCTTTTCTAAAGTTTGTCTATTATTATTATACATATGTATAAATTGATGCAACTAAAAATTACAAAAAGATATTTATGTACAGACGGTGCGCGCATGCGCGCGCGTACACTTTTACACATACACGTACATACACAATTGTATGTTTATGACTTGGAATCAAATAAAATAATGACAGTTTACTAGCTGCTGTTTCATGTTTATTTACAACTGTGGTCTTGTTTTGCAGATGACTAACAGATGTACGATTAATCGATGTGTGAATTAACTGTGAACTAACAGCATATAACGACATTCCAACTCAATCATGGAGAGAAAAACGTTAAAAGGAATCGGTGAGTTGTTTTTTAAATTTCAGTTCTATTTATTATTCACTGTATATTATTCTGTTTGTATATAGAAATGATCACATAAAAATGGAATACATCTTTATGCGATTCTGAAAATGTTTTTATACATTTGCATAGTCAAATTATAGGAACATAAAATTTTGTTCGGAGTTCCATTGCAAATTTTAGATCTACTTGAAATAGAGAAAGATTTACTTAATATTTGAAAAAGATTTTAATCGCCAATATTTTAATCAAAATAGAACTTTTATTTGAAAAAGAAAACAAACTTATTTATTGCAAGGAAATAAAAAACATAAAATAAAACATAAAATTTTATTTTAATGCTCTTGCTTCCAACTAAGAATTCAAAACTAAAAATTTTCATATATAGAGATATTACTGGAAATAGAGATATATACTGGAAATTGTTTTCTATTCAAGATCTTTAGACCATCATATAAAAATATTAGTTTTGATATATATTTCTATGTTACAATTTTTACAATATTCTTTTTTACAATTTTTTTTCACATAAATGATCTTTTCTATAAATAAACAAAAATTGTGATCTGAGAAATTGATTTTCAAAACCAATACATCTAAAGAAAAATACAGAAATATGATAAAAATCATGATAGAAAAGATAAAAACAAAAATAAAACAGATTTAGATATATACAAACAGGAAAAATTACATATTTTTAAAAAGAATAATTCTTTCTCTATTATCTTTATATCTAGATTATCTATATATTTATCTACATTTAGATTATTTAATTTGTCAAGAAAATATAATTGAAAAATTGTTAAACTTAAAAAATTTTCGATACATGCCATATAAATAAACAGCAAAAACACAAGCTATATCCTTTTAATGAATAAAATAACTAAGCGAGTCATATCAGTTCTGATAAAGTAATAATTGCTGAGAAACAAAGAGAAATTGGTTTAGATTATATATATATATATATATATATATATATATATATATATATGTGTGCGTGCGTGCGTGCGTGCGTGCGTGCGTGCGTGCGTGCGTGCGTGCGTGTGTGCGTGTGTGTGTGTGTGTGTGTGTGAGATACTTTTTCCCCATATTATATATTATTTGTTATTAAATATTACCTTTTGGTAAACATATTATTGTACAAATTATAATATAATTTTTACAATCATGGAACGTATAATATTAATATAAAGCAAAATAATATAAGAGAAAAATCACAATATTTTTACTCAATAATGTATATATTTTACAAAGAAGTATCATAATTATTCAAATATTTTGATGCACAAACAAATGTATGTAATATATAGTTGTTAACAATAAACAAATAACAAATACATAAATTACAATTTTTATAATAATAATTATTATTATTTTATAATAATTATCCTAATGTCGTTACATATTCTAATTTTGTAATAAAAAATTGTAAAATCAAATGTATTTTTCATGTAATTTGTATTGTAATATATTTTTGCAATGTATATAGTTATGATTAATTTTTACCAATTTTTGCTAGTTTATACGATACCTATTATATATATATATATATATATATATATATATATATATATATATAAAATATAAATATAAATATAAATATACAATCAAATTTTGTCATCATTTTGCTGCGTGAATTAGTTTTAAGCATTATATATTTCTTTGTTATATTTTCACTCTATAAAAATCATAAATGACACTCTTTTACTTTTTTGAAGCGAAGAGATAATTTCATATCTCAACAATGTGTTATTTGACTTAGAAACAAGACATAAAATTGCGCGATCAGATACTAAAAAAAAGACGCAAAACATGCTTATCGGCAGTGACATGCTGTTAAATAATTTTCCTAAAAAAAATCCATAAAGCCAGAACTTTTTCTTACGTCATTGTAATTACAGAAAAATAGGAGAAAACGTTTCCAAACCCATGTTTATATGACTTTTTTCATCCTTACAATGAATGGAATATGCTTTTAAAATTTCTATTTCTAAAGCACTCTGTATACACACACACACACACACACACAAGTACACACACACACACACATACACACACAAGTACACACGCGCGCGCGCGCACACACACACACACACACATATATATTCACATTTGCATATATATATAAAATTATTGTCAAAATTATTGTCTTTAGAGCACAATAGCATATTAGTTTTACGATTTTTACGTAAAAAAAACAATTTCTTTATTTTTTAATGTCTAATATCTATTATTACATTTTTGCTTATTAATTTTGCATCTTCCTTTGCAAACTAATTTTTTCTTCTTTATTTATATATGTTAATTTTTATTATATATGCTAATTTTTTCTTCTTTATGTTTTCTTATTTAAACTTTGTTTTTATTTTTGTTTACAACAGAAAATCATGTGATTTATACGGAGATTACAAAAATAAGTAAAAATTTTTAAATTAAAAATAAATTAATTAAAACTGCTACAGACCATCACTAGACACTAAGATAAATTAATTAAAACTTGTTACAAAACTTGTGTACAAGTGTACGAAATTTTTAGATATGTATAATTATAAATAATATCATAAATAAGCAACCTTCAAATTTACGATTATTTATTTTTTTCGTAGTAAAATTTTTTTTCTTGTAGAATTGCACACACACACACGCGCGCACACACACACACACACACACACACACACACACAAAGAATCTTCTCTACAAAAATAAACTATTATTATTACGTGAATAAATTTTTCAATATATAATACAAGTTAATTATCAGATTATTAATAAAATTCCTTATCTTTAAATAAAATTCTTTAAATATTTATATCTATACTTTTCTTATATACATCTATTTTATAAAAATATTATTTATTATTATTGTTTTTACATTCAAAGATTTTTACGATAGTCATTTTCATTTATATTAAGAACATAAATTTTGTTGCTTAATTAATCGCAACAAGTTAATTATAATTGACATTAGTCTCTTGTTTTTGTAATCATCTATCCGATGCATTATGGATTACATTGGTTTTTTTTTATTTTTCTCAAACCGAAAACACAATATGAAACAAAGAAAAATCCCTTGGAAATTAAACTAGATGATGTGTTTCGCCGATGTTTCAATGAAACAACTACAGATACTCTTATGGAATTCATATGTACTTTTTTCATTCTTTTCTTTTTTTCCTCCTCTTACCATCTCACCAACGCAGAATCAGAGATAAATCCGAATCCTTTTCCATTCTTTGCCGCGACATACGTTGAAAGGAGCACATAGGTAAGTCTCGCGAGATATCCTTTGTCCCGTTTGCTTTCTTTTTTTCTTTTTTGTACGTGAAACAAAAAATCGTAAAGCGCGTATCAATCCAAATAATATAAATCTATTTGAAAATTATATTTTATAAAATGAGTATAAATATAATTGTCATCAATTATCAAGATATATAATCTGAGAGAGAGAGAGAGAAAGAAAGAACACAAATATTGATTTATATTAAATATTATAATATATTGATTAAATATTTTATTAATTTAAAGAAACATTTTTTTCAAATGCATGAATTATATTGTGTGTACATAAATATATTTATTAGTACTAAAACAATGATTATGTAAAATTAATATATCAATATGTGATTTTATATCATGTTAATCTCGAAATCAAGAATATGTTATTGTGTTTTATTATTGCATAATAATATTATTATGTTAAATTCATTTATTTGTTATTATTTATTATTACATTATGTAATTTCATTATTATATTGTATAATTATTGTTTTATTTTGACCTTTCTAGAGATAAGTACGTATCTTGCATACGTACACATATTATAAATTTATTATTATGTGTCTACGATTAATGTGTCTATGATTTATTATTATGTCTATGATTATATTTATGTCTTGTGATATATATATATATATATATATATATAAAATTATTCTTTAAAAATTAAGACGCTATAATTTATTAGCTATTTACGATCTCTGATTATTTCGATTGCAATCGTTTACATCGTGATTAATAAATACGCATCTTAACATACAACTTCAATGACGCTCAACGACACGATATGAAGCTTGACTTGTTGCATAATCGGCGCAATGTACACATGCTCACGCATAATTCATTACTCTCTCATTCGTGTGCGTCAGGTTGCCATCGGTGTTGTACATCTCGAGGACGTACATTCGACGCAAAGATGATTTCACTGCGCAATAGCACATCGCATCGTTGATTTTTGACGTTTTCATAAGACATGTGTGTTCCTATTAATTAAAATATAACATATTAAAAAGAATTAATATTTTTAAAAAATTGATATTTTAATTCGATTAAATTGATTTAAAAAATTAATATTTTAAAGAAATTATTCTATAAATGCAAAATATTAGATTATGTCTGTGTACAAATCATAGGGTATATGGATTTATGGAACATCCTAATATGTTATGTAATAATTTTTACATTTTATTTCGTTTCTTTATTCAAAATCAACTTGATTTTCAGAAAGTGTAATACAGAAGTGAACACAGAAAGTACGCGAGCATAATTAAAAATAAATAAATTTAATGTTTCCGCAGACATTATGGCTGTAGAATGTCAATGTGGTTTCTTGTTATAAAAACATTGAAATAAATGTCGAACATCATTTTGTTGCAACTTAACTTAAAATAAAAAATTCTGTATGTGCAGACAGTTTCGCAAAAAAGGAAAAAGAAAGCCATCTAAAGATCAAAGTGCAAGCAATAGTGCAAGCGAGTATAAGTAACAGCGCAAATATACTTCTATTTCCTTTACTCCTTCTTTTCTCTCTTTCTTCTCTCATTAATTTCGCCTTTGAAAAAAATTGTTAAAACTGGTGAGACACGTTTCCGAAAAATGATGTTTTGCACTTTCACTAACGCGATCTTAAATGTAGACATAATTAATTGAGCTAGTTTAATAGAAACTGGTTGTGTTAGATGCTTTCACACGGCAATTTTTTTTTTAATTTTCTCATTCCGATAAAGATATATAGAGTGATACTTAAATAATTTGTGCAATTTTATTGAATCTTTTAAATTCTAAAATATTCTTCAACTTTAATTTGAATTTCTTTCACTCACTCTTTCTCATCCTTATTTTCTTCCAATTCTTATCGTACTTTTATATGCTTTAGAAGAGAATTGAGCCCACAGGAGAATTGAGATTAACTTTGACATTTATTCATACAAAGGTATTGTATAATTAGTACATATACATATAGATGCATGTATATATACATATATACATGCATCTATATGTATATGTACTAATTATACAATACCTTTGTACATATACATTTATAAACATCAGAACAATATACTGATTAACATCAATCGATTATTCCAAATGGCAATTAGGATACTGTAACTGACAGATCATCTAACCGTATTATAAGAACTGATAATATGTAAGTTAATTATAGCACTGAGACATATTGTGTGTATTATTATATTATATTATTGCTATATTTACGCTTGAAACAATGGCAAAAATATAATTATTTTTTATTATTGTAATCATTTAATTTCTATAATATTTATAATTTTAAAATATAATATAGTATACTAAGGTATAATATATAATATATATTAATATATATATATATATATATATATATATATAGAGAGAGAGAGAGAGAGAGAGAGGAGGGAGGGGAGGAGGGAGGGGGAGAGAGAGAGAGAGAGAAGATCGTTCGCTCACTCGCTTGCTCGCTCTCTGTCTTTCTTAGAATAATTGAAAACGTATATAAAGTGGATATTATAATTCTTAAGTAAGAATCTTTTGTTCGACATGGGTGCGCATTAACGTCGAATGGCATTAACGAGACTCGCCTACGGCCTCTAAACTGCAACTTTATTGCCATTTTCGCTTCCTGAAAGATAACACTTCTATATTCTCTCACATGTTTACGGCAGCGATGTGTGTGCAACTTTGTTGTATAAATACATACAAACAAGTTCCATCTATTTAATCCTTTCCACCTTCTTCCCTCCTTCTCTTATCTCCTTCATTCTAGTTTTATCTGCAACCGGTGTGATAAGAGCATACGAGTATGATAAGGAATTTCAACATGCAATTAATGATCAAAAATTGTTTCTTATAATCTAATGATTACATTTTAATGAATTCTTTTTTAACTATTAATATGTATTTATATAACTTTTTCGAATATTTTAAATATTTCTTTAAATATTATTTTTTCTTAGTTTATTTTTTGTTTTTTTATTCTTTATACTCTTTTCAAATCAATAAATCTTGAGCTAATTTATTCACATAAAGAATTCTCTACTATATATATTTAATATTTAATAACTCTCCATCAGGTCATTTATGGCTTATATCTTAAGAATGTTTTATAAAATTCATGTTATAATCACAATAATTTATGTATTACATATTGTTAATTATACAGAAAGAGAAGAATAATTTTTACTTTGAAAATATTTTTCTTTCCATTATCATATGTAGTATTTTTTTAAAGGAAAAGAATATGTAAGAATACAATGTGTGTGTGTGTGTATCTATACCATCTGTACTAAAGTGTACATACAATGTCCACGTATGCATAACTAATTCTAAGCTATAAGCTTTTTAGTCATCAAAAAATATATTTTACGTTTTATAATATATCTAATTTTTTTTTAAATAAACATTATGTATTATACAAAGTTATATATCGAGAATTTTTATGTGCGCAATAAAAATAATAATTTAAAACAAACATATGAATAATAAATGTACTTTTATGGATAATAAATGTAGTTTTATCAGCAGATTTTCTTTTGCGTCATACAGTACAGAAGTCCCATACAGTACAGAAGTTTACAGTAACATTACTACAACATTGCACATAACAGTGTAATGTAGCAAAAACATTACAAAGACATTATTTTGCAATATTACTTTAGCAATGTTACAGCAACATTTTAATATAGCAAATATATATATTTATATAGCACAAACAGATAGAGAAATATTGAATTATACAATTATTTCGATGCGACAACTTTTTTATTATTTATGACATTTTATATATATATATATATATATATATATATATATATAAAGCGTGTGTATATGTAAAAGTATGCATCCTTGCTTTTTTATGACGCGATTCTGCGGTAACTATAATGGCCACTCTCACTACGCGCGAAGCACCCCATTATTGTCACTCTATTTCTTAGTTTATATCTATCTGCTCTCACCCTTTCTTTAAAGACTTTGACTTCAAACTTTGATGCAAACGATAGAAAAACATATAATGTGCTATTTCTATGCATAAGTTTCCTTATTATTGTGTCGCAATTTTTAAATCGCTATCGGTGAGATTATAGATATGAATATAGATTATTCAATCAAAATGATAAAAGAATAAGATTTTTTCATAACTAAATCGAAATGAGTAAATAAAGAATTCTAAAATATCGCATTAAAGGAGTACAAATATGTATATTATTTCTGCTGAAAAACAAGATAATAAAATGAAAATAAAATTAATACTAATACTTTTTCTTTAGATACATTTTTTCTATAAATATTATTTAATATAAACTAATATACGATAATTTATAAAATTATAAAATGGCAACAAATAAAAAAGAAGTGAAAAAAAAGGAGTAAAAAAATGATGAGATTACTTCTCTCCTGGCTTTTTTATATCATTAATATTTATCAGGGTGTTTGACAATCTTTGAATGGTCACTTTGCTGGAATCTGCAATCTGAACAGGCACTTACGTCGTGTAATGCGAACCGTGGTCTCGTTGTAGAAATTGATGTCGGACCGAAATTGAAGGTACCATTGAAATTCAGCGCGTCTCCTCCACGCTCCCGATATAATAAAGATATTGTATATAACCATATTTCTTTGCGTATGGAAAAAAAAGCTTGCGGTGTTCGTAAAACCCAACGTACTCAGAAACGATGATTGCGTTTTCCAAATAACACATAGACTCTTGATGGTATTTGAGGCTCTTCGACCCTTTTGCCTCTCATTAGCGTTCGCTAATTAATTAGCAATTAAGAGATTGAAATTTCATTAATAAATGTGAGTACGATGTATCAGTATTATTAAATTTAAATGTCATTACTGTTTATTTTATTAATATATAATATATAACAGTTCTATGTATATATAAATAGATACTTACATCATAGGATAGTAGTAATAAAAATAAGACAAGTGTATATACATATATATATATATATATATACACATTTACAATATAAATATAAATATATGTATGTATATATTTACGTATATATGTATTTATATACGTATGTTTACATGTATACGAATATATATATATATATATATATATATATATATATATTACTATATATATTTATATACTTATATATACATGTATGTTTATATAGTGTGCGTGAATTAGGTTTAAAAGTGAACTGTATTGTGTGTGTGTGTGTTTGTGTGTGTGTGTGTATGTGTGTGGTGTGTGTGTGCATGAGAATGGAAAAATATAACTATTTTATTTAAAATAGTAAAATAACAAAAGAAATAACGCGAAATAAATTTACATTTCCATGCATTGAGTTTTTCGAAATCTACTTTATCTACTTTTCTTATCTTATTTTATTTATCTATTTAAAACTTTCATTAAAAATTTATGTAAAAATTTAGTCAGTATTATCAATTAACCAATTAAAAGTTTTATATAAATTTTATGTAATATAAAAGTATCTATTCTAAAATTAAACTATTAATAAAATTATCTATTCTTTAAAAATAATTATATATTTAATCGTTCTAAACTTAAATATGATTCGATCAATATTTTAATATAATAAATTAAATTTACTGTTATAAGTGAGACTGCTATGAAATAACAATATAAAGAAAAGAAACAAGGAGAGAAAGATAGCTGATCGTAACATATTATATCATATACTTATTTGATTTCATACGCTTTAGCGCGATATAAATATCAAAGTAGCACATGTATTATGTATGTGACGGTAACGTGATATAACGATATAAAAAATACCGCCGTGCGCTGTGTATAAAAATAACGTTGGCTAGTCTTGTTATCGACTTGAATTACCACGAACCATATGATGCATCGCGACGACGCATTACAGTAACTCACAATGCATCAATATGAATGTAATCATAATACAAAGAATTTAAGTTAAATCATCATTATTTGCATTTTTTTTAAATCTTAAGAATTAATTAAAACTTATAAAATATTTTAGAAGAGAAGAAAAAATAAAGGGAAATGAGGGAGAGAAAGAGAGAAGAATAATGTAAAAGAATAATAGTATAAAAATAAGGTTTTATAGATAGAATATAGAATAAGTATTAATAAGTATATAAAGAATTATAGATATGTGATGGAAAAAATTAAGACAATGTAAAAAATTTTATTTAAATATATATAAACTCAACATGATAATAATAATAATTGTCATGTAATTTTCCCTATATAATTCAATATTTTTTGTTTTTGTTTCAGACGGCGCGATAATAAGGACATCGTGGACTGATTCAAAATCCAATTAACATTTATCAATTAATTTTATTTTATTTGAGTAATAAACATATTTATTTAATTAAATAAGTATTATATATTTAATTGTAATATATTTCTTCATTGTGTTTTCACAATTATTCAAAGTGTTCTAATAAAAGTGCAATCAAGTGATTCATTGTTAAATTTATCGAGAATCCGGTGTGTTGCGACACTGGAGCATCATTCCTTCAGTTTATTCCGAGCTCTGGCTGACGGGAAATGTTCCGAAAGTATAAGCTGCAGCAACGCGACAGCAACTGCCGACCGCCCGATATACATAGATAACGCGAACAATCGCAAAAAATTACACAAAAGACCTAAATCAAGATCGAAATCGAAGTACAGAGGATCTAGATCAAGAAGCAGGGAATTAAGCTTGAGATCCACAAATAAAATATTTAAAAATGAGAATGACAATGATAAAAAGTCAAAGAATCTCACAACGAAGATAACAGATGAATCGTTCAAATTATCAAATGGAATCGATAATCGATTGAAAGCAGATCGTATTGGAAGATTTAATATAGCGGATGATTTTTTGCAAAGATTGTTAAAGAAGAATATCAATAAGAAGTTTAACAGATTTCTAAAAAATATCAACAAGAATCAGTCGTTTCTAAAGAAACGCATCCAGCAGAATTTAAATCTGAAGAGGAAAAGTGTTCGGAAAAATTTCTTATTGAAGAAGGATATTCGAGAAAAAGCATCATTTGACAAGAGAAGCTATCGACAGAGTATAATATTAAAAAAAAAAGAAGATATATATGTCAAAAAGATTTTAAGGAAGAATATTAAGGAATATTCTTTGTTTCTGAAAAAAAATATTCAAAGTAAAACATCATTTATTGACAAAAGCGATCGACAAATTTTAATATTAATAAAGGAGGATATTTGTGAAAATCCACTGAACAATAAGATTCAGGCAAAGGAATTACTATCTGAAATAAACAATCAACAAAGAGCAATAATTGCAAAGAAATACAATCTGTATAGTCCTTTATTGTTAAAAAAGAGGATTAATGAAGATAAAAGCATTTCGTTGCCAAAAAGAAAGAGCGAAAAAAATTTATTGTTGAAAATAAATCTTAAAAAACAGTCAATACAAAAAAACGACGAAAAAGATTTATTATCAGCGAAGGCGAATGTTTATAAGGATTTAACTAATGCGATCTCACAATTGACAATAAAAGATATTGGAGGAACTACATTATTCTCAAAAAAATATATTCGAAAAAATCCACAGTTTTTGATAAAAAAAAATGTCAACAATAATCCGAAAAAGAATATTTCAATTGGCCCATTGATGCAATTAATGGATAAATATACTCAAAAGGAATTAGAATCGTCAAAACGTATTTTCAACGAAAAGATATTCTTAATAAAGACCGATTCTGAAGAAGATTCACAATTGTTTGTATGTATAAAAAAGAATTTCTTATTATTACAGAGAAAAGACATTTCTGATGATACAAAGTTAACACCACGGATCAAGAATAATTTTCTACTAACGAAAGATCTTTTTTCTTTGACTCAAAAAGAAAAAGATATTCCTGAAAGTTTACAATTAATAGAAAACAACGTTCAAGAAAATTCGTTATTGACGAAGAATATTTGTTCTCTAACTAAGAAAATTATTTTTTCATCTAATCAAGATATTTTTTCAGCTGAAGAAGAAAAACACATTTCTGAAAAAGGCTTACTAACAAAATTAACAAAAAAAACCGTTCAAGACTACTTTTCTTTGACCAAAGAATTTTGTTCTTTAAGTAGAGAAAATATTTCTTTAATTGAAAAAAAGAAGAGACTGTCGCAATCAACAAGACGAACGATCTATAACTGTCTTTCATTGAACAAGAATTTAAAATTTAAACAAACGAGAGATTTCATTGATTTCCCTTATCAATCATCGATTGTTCATTATAAACATCATCTTCTATTCAAAGTTCCTCAACAAATTTTTCAAGAATCTAAGAAAGTATGGGAAAAACACAATAGAGAGAGTCACTATAAAGCGAAGCGGTCGCCTCCACCGGAGGAAGACTGGCTGAGTCAAGGGTCAACAGGGTTCGATAACGACGGGTCAACCGATAAAGACGATTCGTCAATCGTAAAATGCAAACTTACGGATTCGTATCATTATACGAAACACCAGTTGATCGTGAAACCACCCGAAGTGCACATTACGATTTCTAAGATTTCTTCTTGTCCAAAACAATTAACAGATAGTTCTAAGGAGAGTTCAGAAGCCAATTTTATTGCGGATTCTATTGAAAGTGTGTCTAGATGTACAGGTTTTGAAGAAGATCCAAAGTACCTAAAGGATCAAATTATTAAGATAGAAGATCCCGAAAAGATTTTAAAAATTCCAGCCATTAAGATAAAACGTGGAAAAATATTAAAGAAACCAGTCGTCGAGATAAAAGACTTCGACGGGATTTTAAAAAATCCAATCATCAGACTAAAAAATTACGAAGAAATTTTAACAAGTCAAGATATCAAAGTGAATAGCAACGATTTACTCACCTTGAAGATAAATGGTTCTCTTGAAGATTCAAATTATCAACGAATAATTCAAAAAACATCACAGTTTTTTAATCGCATAAATCATCAATTGATTAAATCTGTAAATCGATTGTCATTAATAGTAAATTCATCAAAAAATCGCGAAAATATCTTGAAATATTCATCCATTAAAATAAAAAAGTTAGTCACTAAGATCTATACCAACAATTCGCCTGCCTTGAAGATAATTAACAATCTTAAATCTTTAAATAATCAACGAATAATTCAGAAGTCTTATCATCTTGTAGATCATCAATCGGATGATTTACAATTATCAATAGTTAGGGAAAAATTATTAGAAAGTGACAGGAGAAGTGAATCGATTAGTAGGTTTCATAAAAATTTCAAAATGAAACTAACTATTAGACTTATCCGCATTCGCGACAAGTTGGTGCTAGGTTTAAGTGCGTTTGCCATTGTGTTTACGCTTTTGTTAGTGATGGACCTACAGATGGACTTGGGCTACAGTGGCCATCACCTGACTCCTAGCCATGCTCGCGTCAGGGTCGGCGACCCGCCGAACGCCAACAGTGTTTACAACAACTTCCGCAGGAAGTTCCTTCAACGAGGTAATGGCAGTCGAGAACAAGCAAATGGCGACACGACGCCCGTCGTTGAAAAATCTGGAAAAAGCGAATTGACATCATCTTCGTCGACGATGAGAAAGTACGACGATTTTGCAGATTTGATGGATTTGATAGTGAATAGGTACGCGAATATTGACGAAGGAGTGGCAAGAATTGACAGAGGGAGCCGAGATCATAATCCGACAATCGGAGAACTGAAGAAGGTGATACCAAGGTGAGTAGCAAAATTGCTAATATAAATATTTTTTTAAATATTATAGTAAAAATCATATCGTATTAAATATCATATAAATATCATATTACAAATAATGTCAAATTACAAATGCCGACCAAAACATTCATAAAAGAGAGGCACAGAAAGTCATTTTGTATTATTCACAAAGTAGTATGTGTGTGAAAAAAAGAATAAATTTGCATTGGAATATTCTTATTACATTGTATGTTATTTCATATCTTTCTTTCTTTCTTTCTTTCTTATTTTTTTCATTTTTGTTAATAAAATTAGTTTTGAATAATAATATTATACAAACTCTTCAATTTATAAGGATAAAGATCCTTCACTAAGATTTACATTCTTTTATATCTGATTTAATCATTCTGTTGTACGTATGTGTATGTGATTTTTCCTAATTATGATATATAATTTTCTATAGCTTCTCTATAATTTCTTCCTTTAATATGAGTGCAGCTTTAGGCATCGCGGGATGCGGGGTCGGCGGCGCATGCACGAGTGCGTTTGCCGTTTGCAAACGTAATTATACCGATGACAGTCGGGACGAACATACGTAATCTCGACGCGCGCATGTATATCTATTTGCGTATACACGCATACAACGGAAATGTTATTGGTACAGGTGCGCGATGTTCCATGGCGCCTTCGTGGAACGATGGAATTACGTTTCGTTATAATCGCGTGGTAGAGGATGCGTACAAAGGTTGTTGTTAGGTCTATTCGATCCCACACTTATTGCGTTATTCCATACGGAATGTACTATATGATTCTCACTTCGTTATTCCAATGATTAATATTTCAGAAACATCGAATTAGTGAAAACGTGAATCAAAAGTATTTTTGTTTATTAAATTCTCTTGATTCATTGCCTCAATAACTTTTTTTATTTTCTTTTCTATAATTCTTTTCTATAATCCTTTTCGTTCTGTGAGCAAATTTTTAAATTTCTAAGAGCAATAAAATTCAGAGAGCTCTTATTAAACCGCTATAAATTTTACGAAGCATGAAGGTCACTTTAGTTTCCGGTACATCATGAATATAATTACATAGCAATAGCGGAAGCGTGATGATTGCAGTTACAATACGCCTCATTTCCGCGATGACATATAATTACCAAAGATAATGTACGTACATAATTGTGTATTTTTGATAAAATTCGGAGACTACAAAATTAATAAACTTTTATCAATTATCTGTCACATCTTTTAATAGGCAAATAGAAATATTCTAAGAATATTTTAATTAAGATACTTTTTCCACGTTAAGGAAAAACACAAATAATAAAATTGTAATCTTTAAATAAAGTCAGAGAGATGGGTTTTAATGTAATAAAATTTGTAATTTTAAATTAAGATTTATATCAAATTAATTTTTTATTATATAATTATTTATTGTATTATATTAAAATTAATTGTAGAAAATTTAGAGGTTTAATTAAATAGTTAAGTTATATGATGATTTTCACTGAAAAGAAAGGATTGATAAGAAAATATGTCATTACCAAATTTAAGATTACACGTCATGGGATAGTATATCTTTCTACTGAAACTACAAATCGAAATTTATTGAAGCAAAATAAATAGCAAAATAAATAAATTTAAAATCATATGTAAAATATAAAGTAGTGTAAAAAACGTCTTATTTTCAATGGTAGATTATTCAATAATTCTTTTTACATTTGCATTGATGCCTCTGATATAGAATTGATGAAAAAATCTATCATTACAAATTTTTCATTTTCTAAAACTCGTTATTGTATTATGCGTATGAAATCATGGAACATACGATGGATCATAATAGATTATGAAGAGAAATGCGTCATCAGCATGTATCCACTCATCATATGTTATGTTAACATTTCTCATCACCTTGCGGTTGATACTCAGAATGTAATATGCATTCGCCGATGATAATACATTTTAAAAATTAAACACAAACATTAATCTCGCATTTACAATTTACTATATAATTAAATTATAAATTAATTAATATTGAAATTATATTGTTAAAATTTGTCAACTTCATTAACGTTCGCCAACATCATTAACGTTCGTCAACTTTAATATGCTTATTTGTTTATTTGTGTTGACTTATTAACTGTTAATAAACCCATATTACGATTGATTATCTAATTAATTAAATTATTAGTTATTGAAAATTAATAATTGACGTTTTTCCTAAAGTAAAATATTTCAGAAGAAATATTTTGTATATTAGAAAAAATACAAAAATTTTAACATTAAGTAATGCAATCAACAGTGCTCTCTGATGGATTTCCAAAGATTGCAACAAGATAAAAATTTTGATAATTTTTATTTTTTATGACTTTTACATTCAGTATAGAAATGATTTTAAAATGCTGCAATCTTGTTTGTTTGTTGTGTCTCAATATTAATATAGAATAAAAGAAACATATAACTCTACTATACAATATATATAATCATTTAAAATGTTATTATCTTCATCTTTGAAATATGACACAAATTTTTGAAGATTTTATTATTGGATTATATGCTCGTATGTATATGATTTTTAAATTACAAAAGATCACAAACAATTTTAAATTTTTATTTAGCATATTATCATATAATAGGCAGGGCGAAATTTTCATCAGTAAACAAATTTATATTTCGTATTTCGAATTAAGAATTATTACACCTTAGAGAAAATAACTATATTATATCTTATTCAGTTAATACAAATAAGTAAAATTGAGTATTTTTTAAATCGCATCGCTAATCATAACAAGAATATCAAATAAAAAATAAACATTTTGGATGCAAAGTTATTTTTAGCTAAACGATATAATGATACCTTGGACTCATCTATGTGCATCGTACTTTACCGTTGTAAAAACTGTGCCATTGCTTCTCAAAGCTTTGAAATCTCCTAAATAGGCTATTTCGTCAAAGAAAAAGATAGAGAAGCAAAATAAAAAAAAAGATGAAATGTCACAAACATTTGAGAAGAAGAGAGCGAATAAGCTATCGCGAAAATTTAGAACAATTGGCAAAGAAAAAATTTTCCACGCTCTCTCGCGGGAATTAATGTTGTGAGATCGGAAGTGATCTCAATCTTGATTGAGAGAAACAATACTAATCCAGAAAAACGAGAATAATGCGCTATTTTATCAATTTAATTTAGTTTAAGAAACGATTATACTTGATTACAATACAAAAAAATCAAAAATTATTTGCTAAAATTTTGAGGTAAAAAGTTCTATATATACATATATTATCTTCTACTTTTTCTATTTTTTTCTCTATTAATATATCATTGTAATTTTTATATTTTATTTTTATTTATTAAATGTTAAGTTTAATTGTGCTCATACATAACAAATTAAAAGACAGAAAAATATAAATAAATAAATTTTTAAACGAAATTTTGAAATTATTTAAATGTAACATTTTTCTGCGTCGATGTAACGATGCAACAGGTAGGCATATTTTGATCATCGTGATTATTTCGTATCTACTTATTACACTCGCAAATTTAATTGTTACGAAAACTATTGTAATCGCAATCGTTATACCATTTGATGAAGCCGCATTTCTCGCTCTAATATGATATTTACAATGCATCTATCACCATATTAAATCAAAGAAAAATAAACGCACAAATGCAAAGTAATAAAATTAGAGTAAAAAGAAATTAAAATTGGTTTTTAAATTAATAGATAAATAATAATATTTAAATTAATATAAATAAATAAATTAACATATGTAATATAAGCAATTAATATAAATCATAAAATTTATAAATAAATAAAGAAAATTAATGTAAACAATAATAAATTAATCAAATTAAACTTGATATAAAATAAGTATATCGATATAAATAGGAAATTAAATAAAATCATACATATATTTAAGTGTAGCAACATATAATCAATCAAAAACATATAATGAATGTAATGTTCAACACATTAGCATTGTATATGTACCATTATTATATTTATTATTAAAAAACTAATTTTTAATTTATTTATCAAAATCTTTATTATTATAAATTTAATAAAAATTAAAATTTGTATAAATGTAGATATATGTTTGTACATACATGTTATACAAATATATATATATAGTAAATATATATATATATATAGTAAATATATTATTATATACAGTTACTTATATACATATATTGCGCATCATACATATTTTTTATACAATATGTAAGTTAAAAAAGAAAAAAATTAAATTTCTGTTTTTACATTGTGTGTCTCATATGTTTCATGGTACGTTTAACCGATTACATTTCTGACGAGCATCGCGATCGAAAGAAAAGCTATAATGTCAATATTATATTCATTTTAGTTGCTAGATGTGAATCATTTTTAAATATAAATTTTTAATGTCAATGTTATTAATGTATAAAAAAATATAAATTGAGAGGAATTACATCAAGCGAAAGCTCGATTTTTTAATTTTCTGTCAAATTCTATTAACCGTTATCGCATGATTTTGCACGGTAATAATAAGAAACTAACATAAAGAATCATGAAAGGAATACATTTTACGCGTATCATGTGTAAGAATTATATATGGAATATTGCAATGATATTTGAAACAGTCTTAGAGTTGTTATGAAAGAGAAAAGATTTAATTTTTTTGTGTTACTACTTTTTATTAGATATTTAGGATTTTTTGCTCTCTCGTTCTCTCTCTCTCCCTCTTTCTCTTTCTCTCTTTATTTTAATAAATTAAATGAAATACAGAAAAAGTAATAATGCTTTTTTCACAATTTTCCACAATTAAAATATGTGTACATATGTATATATAATATATGTGTATGGATAACATTCTATTAAGTATTTACGTACATTAGAAATACAGTTAGATAATTGCAACACGTAAGGATAAACTGGATTATCGTATCTGCGAAACTGGACATACTGGAAATACCAGTTGTACGTTTGGCCGATATTCCTTCTTTCATGGAATAATATAATTAATTAAATAAACTTGACGAGAGTAAAA